CAGAGGCTTCACCCTTCTACATACAGTCAATGGAAAAGCCCATTATGTACTTCCTACAATACATACATAAAACAGTGTACAATACAATTCACAATTAAATGTACAGCATAGTGAAGAATATACCACTATATAATATTATACTATACACTGTGTCTTTCTTGAATGAAAATGCTGTTTTAATCGTGGAGTAATAGGGTAAAACAAACGAGCCATGGCCTCTGGATCTCCGCATCATTAGACTCATGGACAGCTTTGGTCAGTTGGCTTATTTTGTGAAACATAAAAGAGATCATGACTGCCAAAAAAGTAGTAAAGCTGTTAAATGTGAACCATGGAGCCAAGTTATTGAGAAATATCTTGAAATTTTTCACATCACAGGCTTACATTATCTGAGGATTAAGCTGAATTCAGAAACAGAACATGGATTCATTTCAACCCCATTTCCCAAACACTTCAGATGAGGCAGGTTGAGTTGATCCCGTCAGGAACTAACACGTCCTTCCCGTCATCCATCATGCAGCACGCCTGGCAACAGCGCGGGAGCTCAACACGCCCTCTACCCAGAGCAAAGGTCCAATCTCTTGTCCAAAAGCGGAGCCATGATGAGAAGTATCAAAATGAGTTATTGCCGTGACCATAACAGAGAACCCCCTGAGGACAGATGGCAGTCCTTGGATCGTTGCACCCACATTAACCTTCCTGTGAAGGGATCAGACGCAGGCTTATTTCCATGAGGGAGTTGGGTCATTGTTCTAAGAATACTCTTTCTGGTTTTTGGAGGACACAGATACGGACCTGCGCTCAGAATCCCCTTTGGCGGAGAAGCCCTTCCGGACCTGGCAGATGGACAGAAAAGGAATGAAACCCTCAAAGGAAACATCAGACAGGGCCCTTGGCAGCAGCGGGGGTAACGTTATCCTTTGGGTGCTTTGTTACTCGCACCTGAGGGAAAGGTTAGCATGAAGATGAACTCTATCTGTTTGATTACCGTGACAGAGGCAGAGGTAATTAAGTTAATACAGTTTAATTAAGTTGAGATGGATTCAATGAATGTTTCATTGTGTCCCTGGTTACTGGCAGCACAGTGCAGCGTGAGATAGCCGTGGCACCAAAAAGTATTGCCTGGTGGCTACTTGGATGTGGCTTTGGAGATGAACACTTCCACTGCCGGCAATTGAAAAGTCACTGGAGAGAAGCATAATGATCTGTCTGATAATTCATCTGGAAATCATGCTGTCTTTTTTTTTTTTATACTAACTATTAAAGTCATAAAAGAAGAACTTTTTGGATGTTAATCATCCTTTACGATATCTCTGATTGAAGCTTTAAAAAGAAAATCCTGCTTGATTTGAACAAAGCAATTTAAAAGCCATCATCTCTCACGCTGTGAGGATAGATGGACTCCATTACGGTGCTGAATTAGAGTGTTTATGCAGCACAGTGACTACGTTGTCAAAAACACCAACTTATTTTTCAAGTGTGCATTATGCTCAAATCGGGTTCTTTCAACGTGTCAAAAGATGATTTATTTTAGTCAAAAGTAAACATCACTTCTCTCTCCTTCAGTGTTAACACGTTGTAAAAGAGTTTCATCCTGAGTACACAAAAGAGAGGTTCTGAACCTGTCGAAACTAACACTGCTTCAAGGTTGGCGGTGTGTTTACTTGCCTTTGTAGAGAAGCTATTGAGTGCTGTCTTTTTTAATGACTGCATTCATCAGTACAAGCCTCAGTCATTTGAAATACGGCTCGGCTGAATCCTATGCAAGGTGTTTAATTGTCTGCTCTTTAAGTGCCCTCTTGGTATTTTATTCAACTAATTTATTCTGAATGGAAACCCTAGAGGGTATAAAGCCATCTGTTTGACATTGCCAGCTGGACCCTGTCCGATAAGAGACATTTTTATAGCGAGGTTAAGCTTCAGGGTGTAAAAATACACAATGCGGTGTGGCTGAGAAGTATGTTGACTATCAGAAATGATGGTGGTATAAAACTGGTTCTAAATGAGGGGAGAGGATTGAATGTACCCTGATTAGATCATAAATTATGATCTCAATCTTGTTTGTCCCAAACTAAAGACAGTGTTGGGAGGAAAATCAATAATCTGCAGAGTGCAGGAAGAGACGCTTTAAAACAACTGAGATAACAGCCTAACACCTGATAGAAGATAGAAAGGAAATTTGTGCAACGCCAATGAATAAATTATTGTCTTTTTTTTTTACTGCAAGGTCAGCTCTGGTGCTCGGCTTCTCCAGGGAAACCTCCGCCAACTCATATGAGCTTACACACAAACACACTGGTAAACACATACACTCACACATGCAGACCCACACACTGGTCAACCATAGGCAACCCCACCAACACATGCATCAGTGCAAATGTCTTCCTACACAGAACTGCATCTTATAAGAGCCTGCACGTGATCTTACTTTAGAGCATATGCATGTCACGTGTACCTATCTGAGAGATCTATTTGCACAAGTATCCTTTCAAATTGAGTCAAAAATGGACCGAAAATAGTTATATGAAAAAAGAACAGCTAAAATGAGCATTCAGCCACTATTACTGTTTCGTGAAATGTTGCTTTTTCACAGTGTCACACAATAAAAAGGCATTAAGAGACTTTTCTAAGCTGGCTAGGAAATTGTGTTGTTACTTTTTAGTCTTAAAACCTGCTTGAGAGTAAATGTCGACTATCGTTTAAGAGTCACTAGGAATGGATACGCTGACATAAACTGTTATCTTAATCATACCAAGTGGTTAGGTGAGGTAGCTTACATACATTGGTTTTACAAAGTTTAATCTTTTAAAACGATAAATTTTGAAAAAGTTAAGTCAAAGTTAAGCTTGTCAACACTGTATTCCACTATTTCACTAACTTGGTCGTTACCTTTAAATGTGCAGAAAACCCCTAATGAAGCACCAGTGCGGTGACTTAAAGGCACAGAGCTGTGACATTATACCAGAGTCAAGTTTCCAACTGCGAGAGAGATGTCAGAGAAAAGGCTGCCAAATAAATATTGAGTAGAGTTTCAGAGGCAGCAACAACACAAGTTTCTAGCTCTGGTTCCTCACTATGCTGGCTCAACATTTTTACTTTTTTATGCGGCTCCACTGAAATCATGAAGATTTGAGAGTGACTCATGGGGTGAGATGCAATGACAGCACAAGCCTCTGCCTGTATGTTCTTGACAGCAAATATAGATGCTCACATAAATATCCTCCAAATAAATTGAAAGGAAAGAGAATAATTAAACTTTTTAGGATTATTTATTGTTCGGAGAAGACGTGCTGTGAGTTATTTATTTGCGGACCATCAAAAACATTTATGAGTCTGTTTCAGCAGTATGCTCTAAACAAGAAGTCATAAATCCACCAGTGTATCCTCACCCCTCTCCTCTCGCTCCCTCTATTGAGCTGTCTTCACCGCGCTATCTCCCCCTCCTCTCAGCCCTCATTTTTCAGCACCTCTCATCGCCCGAGTAAGTGCTTGTGCTCATAAAGATTTGCCATCAATTTCACCTTCATCAATCCTGATTGGATTTTTTCGGGGTTGGGGGAGATTAGGTTTGATTTGATGTTGCTTCTTGAACGGTGAAGTGGAACAGGTTTCAAAACTGGTGTCCTTGATACAGTAATTCTTGAGAATAATTTAGGATAGACTGTGGCCACAAGGTAAAAAACAATTAATAAAGGTTGCTCCTGTTTTCAGGAGAGTGCTGTGTCCACAAGCGGACTCCTACATTTGTCAGATAAGCATTTCCTTTCTAATTAAAGTGTGGCATCCTGCCTGTCTAAGCACACACTGTTCGTGAATTGCCTGTCAAAAGAAATCTTGCAGTTTGTGTTTAGGTCCCTTGGCTTGTGTGTCCCATTTAGAAGTCTGTTTTGTCTCCACAAGGTGGTGTCATGCTCATTAGCTTCATGTAGGAGCTCATTTTTAAGAGCCTGACTCTTGTATATTTGGCTGACACCCGCTGAGTGAAATAAAGTAAAGTAGTTCTCTAATGTGAGCTTGTTTTGTTTATTGTTTATCACAGCCAGTCCAAACTGTCTGTGGGTTCTTGTTTACTGTGTTGTATGAAATGCCATCAGTGACCAAAGTGCTGAGAGAAGTTCAGTGGAGTGAGACGGTGAAACCACCACACAGTTAGGAAGGTGTCAGTCCGTAGAGCTGGCTGTTTTGACCTGTCTATTGACCTTCAAAATAATGGTTGAGTTGGAGAGGAGACACTTCATTACCCACAATGCCTGTCAGTCTACTATCTCGTACATCCTCAATCACTGAATGAGGGCAAGAAAACAGGGCATGTTAGAGTGGTTAGACTCTCATCTCTATCGCCTGTTTGTCCTTTCTTCTGTTCAGCCTAATCTATCTTCTTTCTCTCTCTGTGTTTTCTCTCTCTCCTCGCCTGTTATCATTCGAGTAAATCTATTCAATTATTTTTTTTCCCCGACACATACCTTTTATTTTTAAAACAAAGCTTAGAACCTGTATTCCCAGCTGTGCACAAAAACAAATGGTGAGTGATAATGCAATACAATTATGAGTAAACCGCTTTAGTCTCTAGTGACACGCTGCCTTGTGGTCAGCTCTGATTGTGGCTGAGTTTACCCACGCATAAACCCCCCCGGTGTCAGCGTTAACAAGCTTTGTCTGAGCTGAGCAAAGGAAACAAACCATGAGTCATGATCAGCTTACTGATCCTCAACTAGTGTTTGTAGAATCAACAGATAATGAACAATGGGGTTTGAAATGTCATTTTAGGTTTTGTTAGATGGGACAGCTGAGAAGTGTCAGGAAAAGTAGGAAGTAGAGAGTGGGAGGAAGGCTGTGGCCAGAACTTGTAGGTGACATAGACAAGAGCCTCTATACATGGGGGGGGGGATAAGGTGCGTTAAGAGCCAAATGGCACCTCTGTAACTTGGACTGACTATCGAATGAAAAGAAGCATAAGCATGTGACATAACAGTAGGTTCTAAGCCAATGCAGTACATGCGTTCCAGTTGTAATGGGAAGTCAGAATTTTCAAGCTCTGAGTCGGAAATTCATCAATCAGATTCCCGACTTGGAAAATCGGACAATCCTCACCAACCCTAACTTGACGACAACGTCACAATTCAAGATGGCAGTGCAGTGCATCAACAGTAGAGAGTAACAGTGAAAGCTCTCGTAATGTATTAACTATTAGCACTTCTGTTTTGTTTTTGTGAAATTAAATTAATGGTATATGTTGTACTGCCCAACGTCTAACCTCCAACTTCCACCGCATCTTGAATGGCTATGAAAAGGCCGTATTCGCCGATCGTAGCTGATCGTAACCATTCAAGTCAATGTGTCAATTTCCACCGGCTTCTTTCCGTTCGGCTGCGGATCGCCGGACTCAGCTGCTGATCGCAAGAGTTGTATTTTTTCCAGATGCCGGAGCATGCCAGATAAATTCAGCACAGGCTAACCTGTGCTGGAAAAGAAGTCGGGCACAGACACAAAATAAAACATCTGGCTTCTTTTCAAAATAAAACACTCCGTGTTTCAGGTGGATCACCTTTCACAATATGCAAACAGGCGGGGACAAACAAGTGAAAGGTTTATAGACAGCATTTCACCCCGATTACACCATGGATGAGAGGATGCTGATTTTATAAGTCTGGAATTAGATTTCCTCTTCTGGAAGGACCCAATCTACTGCTTATATGGTTAGCCTGTGTGACTAAAGACAACTTGTTATCGCGCGGTTGCACATGAATTCAAGGGTTCTTTCCATAATCTGCCACCAAATTTGCCTCACAAACGGATCCAGTAGGAACTTGCATACGGCGAAAATCGCCACTGTTACGGATCAGAGCCGTTACGGATGCGGTGGAAATCCCGGATAACTGTGCTACGTTGTGCTATAGTGTTTGTAAGGGCTGTGCTATGCATTGTTTACAACTTGTATAGCTAACAACAATTAACAACAGCTGACAATCGCTAACAACAACTGACAACGGGAAACGACAGCTGAAAATTGTAAACAACAGCTAACAACGGGTAACTGTAGGCGTCAGTCTTGGTTTTCCGACTTGTTAACTGCAACGCCATCTACTCCGGTGTAACGTCATTCCCAGCTCCGACATCCAACTTCCGAGGTAACTGGAATGCAGCATTTTAAGTGACACCAGTATATAACCTCTATTGGATATCCTATTAAGCTAAGAAGTGCTTAAATGATTATCCTGTGTGTAGTAATATAAACGTTGCCCAAACTTCTGAGAAACGGCCTCTAAGATCAGTCTCAGCCAATGAAGATCTCAAAAGACTAAAGTTTCCTCAGGCCTCTGTCAAACACTCCAGAGAGCATAACTAAGAGCTACACCTGTTATTTAAGGACTGTTTTCAGGACACTCAGCAACAACAGTTGGGGAATTATGTGTCTGATTCTTGTATCGGATGAGTGGGTGCCTGTTTTGATTTATAGAGAGTGGAAGCAAGCCAGGAGCCTGTCGCACCACCTGCTCTGAAGTTCACATTTTGTCCAAGTTATTCTGGATTTTATGGAGTGGAATTTTACTTAACACTGCAGTAAAATGGTCAGCACCAACCACAGAAGTTCACATTCAGGTATAAGTAAAGAAGTAAGATCCCCTTTTCTGTCCCTGACTTTGTAATCGACTCTGGTTGCCAACAGGTTAGTGTCGGCGGATACATTCACTGTTAATGATCCGCACTGAGCATGGCATTGGCAGATGGATGAAAACAGTTAAAGAGGATTAAAGGTCGGCTCGGGGGAAGTGGTCCTCCAGGTATGTCTCTGGATGGGGCTGAGAGAAGCACATGAAGTGCTGTAACAATCATCCTTCTCCTCTGCAGCCCGTGTAAGGAGGAGTTGTTGATTTCTTTGATTTGACAATTAATTTAGATGCATCTTTGACTTAAACAATCAAAGGATGATCGGAAGAAAAAATCAAGATCCAAAGGGAGCTTCAGAAAGGGCACATAAAGTTCACAATTTGGAGAATTGAGAAAAAAGAAAAGAAACGAATTAAGATAAAAAGCAGTGCTCCTGTAACAAGTGTTGAGGGCATGGCCTCACAAACTGAGCAGATGGATGGCTGGGATGGAAATGATACTGTCTCTGACCTGACAAGCCGAAGCAGCCTGTGTAGCCCATGATTGTTTTTCCAATTTGACCTGTGTGAATCCACACGGATAATCACTGACTCCAGGATCAAGGATTTAGCCCTCGGGGGGGTTCCAGCAGTTATAATGCCCACGGCGGTCTCAAGACAATGCAGTAGAGCTCACCTCAGCTTAGATTGGACCAGCTGGGGCTCAGAGAGAAAGAAAAAGAGAAGAAAGAGGCAGTGTTACAAACGGAAACTGTACTTAGTTATCCTTTATAAAACATAACCTGACAAGAGAACCCCTTTTAAAGAGTTCGTTTTAAGGGGAGAAAAAAAAAACTTAAAACCATCATTAACTACAGCAACAGAGAGGATAAGTCAATATTTCTGAGTTTAGGTAGATTATTAATAACATCCGCCAGCTTTAAACCATGAAGAGGAGTGATTCCTGGTTTGATATAATCAAAAATCAAAGCTTAAAAGCAGCTCCTTTAATATTTTACTAAACAGCATATTTTCAAGTAACATGCACTTGCAGATTTTTTAACTCGCCAAACACTCTTTAATGTTTTATGGTTGCCTGGTTTCATTACTTATTTAATGTTAACACTCATGTTTTGACTCATCCACGAAGGCCCAGATTACAAAAATGGAAACAACATTTCAGTCAACAAGAGATGCATTTTACCAATATCAGAGCACAGGATTATTTTTTCAAACATACAAGTGCATAAACATTAGATGACAGTTTAGGGTCGGGGTGTCATTAGAAATTTTTTACTTCGTTTGTGATCAAAAAATAAAATTACCAGAAAAGGGAATACCATTTTTTTTTAATCATGTCTTATTTAGGGCAGATCATCAAAGTGTGGTTAGAGTGAAAGCAGAAGTGACAGGTTTGAATTTTCAAAATAGAAGCTTAAAGGATCGTTTAATTACTGTATGTTAACACAGACAGTAGCAAGTGTTGAGTGTAGAATCTACATAAGGCCTTTTTTGTTTCTAACAAACATTTTAAAACATTTGTCAATAATTTATTTTTCTCTGTTTTTTTGATAAATATCTTTTTATCAGAGTAAAATGGCATGATCAGAGTGGTACCCCACCACACCAGTTGTGAGTCCTATGTATCACAGAGGGGTGCCAATTCGATACAGACCACCCACAGTTTTTTTGCTGGCTATGAAGCAGACCTAAAGTGACACAGATGCCTCTGCAGTATCAGCAACCGGATGAAAATTTCTACACTGTAACTTTTAAAGCTTGAAACTGAAGTCAGGGCAGACATGTTAGCCAAGTAACTCAAAGTATTAATGTTCAGCTACTGACAATATAAGATTTTGTGCTCTCCAGATAAATTGAGGGTAGTTTTAAAAAAATATATTGCATAGTAAGTGAGGGGAGAATTATTATTGATTTGATACCTGTGACATGTGAAATCAGATTGTCTCTAATTTCACCTCTCATTAAATAACCATCGTTAAGGGGTTTTGACCAATTAGAGTCAAACACTGAACACAGCTGGGTGACCAGTAAGAAAGCTAATGCATCACAATCAGTAGGATGAGATGTTTTAACAGAGTGTACTACCAAAGCATGTAGAGGACAAAATAAAACATGACCAGCTTTGTCCAGAGGGGGCGCCAAATGTCACAAACGTACAGGTCCTCACAGGAGTTTAAAACTATTTATGAAAAATCACTTTATTTGACTGGAAGTTGATTGATGATGTATCTTTTTTTCCCTTGTTAAATTTTCAGTCAGTTTTTGTTTAATTTTCTAAACGTTTTGTGGTTCTATTGTGAACAAAATAATAACACTAGGCCCATGAAAAGTGCTGCAAAAATGAATCCTGAATTCATTTGTAATACTTAACTTGACGCCTATCTCTATAACGCATTATAAACAACAGTTAACAACAGTTGCATAAAAGTTATGACAGATTATACCTGATTATAATACCTGACCTTGTAAGTCATGATAGAATGCTTTATAATGTGCTAAGATTATTTCTATAAAGCGTTATGATCATTTATGAGTGTTTGTAACTGTAGTTATACAGTGCTATAACGTGATTATAATGCATTATACATATATTTATAATGCATAATAAAGAGAGGTGTCAAATTAAGCGTTACCATTTGTTACCAATCTCTGTGTTGCCCAGTGGCACCCTCAGTATACAACATCTGCACTGAAGAGTTGTTTTACAGCAAGAGAAGCAGCACTAACAGGAAACAATTGTTTAAAATGAAAGATTTTCCTATTGGTGTTTACTGACAGTGAGGATGAACCATAGTGTGGATGCTAAGTAGCCAACGTTTCCCTGTATGAAGTGCCAACCCTGCATAGCTCTGTCTTTCTGCATCTGCTGTGTATTACATTCAAATCAAAGTTATTCAAGATTCATTCAGTGACTTTGGAAAGCTTAAAGAATAACAATCTTACTTTTTTACTTCTCTGAGTAAAACACCATCCACAGTGTTTCAATAGCTCAGGGGAAATACAAGCACAGTGCATTTTTCTTTCATAAGACGGAAGCATTCAAATGTGTGTCTTTGGCATGAATTCATATCTCAGAAAAGCCTAAAAAGCAGCCTTTGAGCTCTTAATTATATGCTTAGAAAGAATCTAATCCCCACTATGACTAAAGAGTTTCCCTGTGCTTACATTTAGATTAAAATTTGCATTTTTGTTTCAAGGAGATTTGCAGGCTTGACACTGTCAAAGCAGGAAAATCTCAGTAAAAAAGTGGATGGAGCTCAAGAGTGAAAGTTTTTGTTTGATTTTAATTCAGTGATGTGAAAAGTCAAACATGCTGAGTGTGTTTGCAGCAGGGGACAAATAGAGTGTCAGAAAGTGGGCTGGCAGCGAGGCACACTCCCCAAGGACAGACCTGCTCTTAAGAGGTTACTTCATCTATAAGTGATGGGACACCAACGCAGGACCACATGTTACCAAGCGCGCGCACACACACACACTCACACTCACACTACCCCCACTTAGGCTGTTGTGAACTTGTGATTGACAGTTCTGCAGGTGAAGCATACCGCTGCTCTCAGCCTCTTTTTTTCTGTACGGCAACACGTTAACTTATCCTTTTTGCACTTTGTTCACCGACAAGAAGTTCTTCCTTTCCTAAACACGTCTCAAACTTCACCTTCATGTTACCTGAGGATGTCCTGGTACAAACAGAACACTCAATATGTAAATCAGGCTGAAGGTGTGGAACTGGATATTAAGTTTTTATGTGTGTTAGTAATAAGGATATCAAATGCATGGGTGAGCATATGGGGAAACATGTGAGAGATGATGGTTTTTATGGAGAGGTCTTTTTTTTTTATACTGTGTATCTCCTCTGCATAACATCATAAATGTATAATTCACTGCTCAGTAGCCCCTCCAGCACCTCAGTTACAGGCTCGTCAGCAGTTGTTGGACAGGTGCAGAGAGGCATTCACACGTGAGAGCCACTCCACTAAATATACATACTGTTCCCTCAGTATGAAAGACAAAATATTCAAATCATTTTGCCATAATATACAAAAACACATGTTGACTAAGGGCAGCCCCTGAAACAAATACGGTCAAACCACACACACGCTGATCTTCCTTACCTCACCTTTCACCTGTACTTCAAATAATGAGCCTATGGAAATATTCAACACAAACAAAACCATATTGTCCTGTAGATATTAGTCTAACTAAAACTACCTGCACGCCCAGGTAGAGATATTGTTTGCTCCTCTGACAAAAGCTTCAGTCTCTGTGCAGGTTTTTTAACCCGGTAAATATGACCCAGCACAATACACCTCAAAGATAACCAGAGGACAATAACTGAGCAAATATTAGTTTTCAAGCATTATGTTCATGTTAGGCTCAGACTCATGTTCTGAGGAAAGAACACCTGGAGACATTCATTCTGATGATACTTTGTTGTTTGGCAGCAAAAAAATACAGAATAATTACTTTGATAGAGTAGGTAATTGTTTGCTTGCTCGCTGGCTTAATGGTTGGTTAATTATGGTGTAATAAATCAGAGCTCAGCGTGTCCTTTCAGGGTTACATCAGGTGTTTCCAGAGCAAGAAAATGAAATGTTTTTAATGTGAATCCACTATCTTTTTATCATCGAGTCATTTGCTTTTCTTGAGCCCCTGAAGTCCCATAGAGCGATCATTTTCATCTTGTCAGTACAAGACAATCATCCTTAATGAGCTACACTAAAATACAGTATTTGTAAGTTATGTCTTTTAATATTTCAATAACACTTGTGTGATCATATCAATTAGCCATTGAGTATGTTCAGAAAATCACAGCTATAACATAAATGGTTTAGCAAAGCTATCCCACAGTTTACTTAATTATTGCATTCTCATTTCCAGCCAGTTGCAGCTGGTGCTCATACTGGCATATACATTAAGCCTATATATGGAAATGTGGCTGAAAGAGCTGCATTACATGTCAGCACAACAGCACGACTCTACAGACAGGAGCTTATTGCCAGAAAACTGTCATTAACTATCCTTGTCTCTCTTTCTGAAGAGTGAGTGTTTTTTTTCTTTACCGGCTTGTTGTGTCACTGGCGTTACAGTGAACAGATTATATATATGTACAAAGGGAAGCTTCAAGTCTTCACTGACTTCGAAGCAGAAAGATTTAGAGCTCCCCCTGGTGACTGAATGCGGTATAGGTCACAAACTGCACCCCTCTGTTTTTAATAGATGAAACATTGGTTGATCTTTAATAATGAAACATAAGTGGAAAAAATCTTTCGCTATTTCCAATGTGAGTTTTTTTTTTCATGTACATTTTTTAATTTATCTTTGTCAAATAGTGGAAGAAAACGGATTAGAAAGTAGATTTTCAGCCTGTTTGTATAATAACACTATTTATCTGAATGTTTATCTTATTTTTTACTGTGGGTGTTATTTCCTAATTTTCCTATTGTCATTGTCTCCCTGTTTTCATGTGCTTTTATTTTTCTTTAGTACTTTGTGCCTTGCCTCCCTTTATTGGATGAAAACTTATCAGACTGAGTTAATTACTCATCCCCAACCACAAGACTCCAGTACTTACCCTAATTGGTGGTAGGTGAGACCTAACTGGCGCCGGCAAAAAAGTCAAGAGACCACAGAAATTATTATATGTTAACATCTGTGTGTGAAAAAGGTTAGGAGAAACTACAAACAGTTCTTAGACTGAGTGTAAAAGTAAAACTTTTGCACAGTATGAACTTTTTTGGCTAAAATAGGGACTAAAACTCCTTATTATTTGCACTGGAGCTTCAGTATCCCCTTTGTTTGGTCAGAAAAACTGTCTTCAATCACAGATGATACTTCCTCCCATGATAATGATAATGCTAGAAACACCAGTGTAATCCTCAGTTAATGATATACCTTATCTGATAATCCTGCATGATCAAGATTCCTTCCGGAATATTCCTTAATCCTCACGATCAACAAGCAGATCTTAGAGGATGTCTTTCTCTCTGTCATGTCAGGACTCACTTGCGCTCTGATGGGCTCATCTGAACAACAGGAAGTATTGGAAGATTTCCCCCCACAAAGTAAAAGTCTGAGAAAATCTGTGGGGTTTTTCAAGGTTGTGGTTGGGTGATATTATCACAAAAGTGATTAGCTTTGCAAATGTGAAATGGTTTTGTTTACAAGGCGTCAAGTTAGGAAATTGGAGGGAAAAAAGTCATTTTTATCCTGTCTTGTGTTTGAGATTGAAACTCACGTTTCACAGTTAATGTATTTGTGATAAATTCATGTGGAGATGCGGGTATCATATGTTCTTCTAAATGTACTTTAGGCTACCAAATTTCCTCTCACATTACAACATGGGCCGGCCTTCGTCTCTGTGGAAAACATCATAAGAGACATTTGGTCACAGGGGGCAGCATCTTGTCTGCATTAGGAGACAGACTGGGTAATAGCTCACTTCACCACACTATTTAAAGGCATATTGCAGCTGAGAGGAGAAGTACTGATTGCTCAGCTGGACACAGGCTTCACAGAAAAGTAAGTGCATCTTACATTCAACTCTGTCTCTTAGGGATGACTTTTACAGCTTTTGTATTTAAAATATGAGAGTAAATGATGTTTTAGAGCTTTTCTGAATGCTGACAAAAAGTTTTCACTTTGTGATAAACATGATGGCTGGAGTTTTGATTTGTTGTTAAGAGGGAGGGAAATGTCCAACAAGTGTCCTTTACAAAGTGAGGCAAAAAAAAAAGTATTTGGTCTCTTTTTTTTTTGGCTCATGGTTTGTTATCTATTCATACAGTCTAGAGTTTTATATCTGTGTAATATTTCGTATCTATTTCCGTTTTATACACTTGTTTTTTGTTTTTTTTTTATGCTGCATGATAAGGATTTAACAATCCACTTCACATCTGATTGAAGTTTCACTATACTCTCTAGCTGTGGAAATCTAATCTAATGAAGAATCCATCTGTTATCAAAGTCTGATGCATAATTTTAGATAAATATGTTTTATTATGAGACATTCACTGTGTTATTAATGCCTGCAATATCGCACTACATTGTCAAATAGAAACAGTATGAGAAATCTTTGTGACAGAAGAGTGTCATTATCAAATGTGTTTACTGTAGTCCACATCTACAGCTGGTTTCCCAAGTGTTTGGGGATGCATTTACTACTGTCCATTAGTGCACTTCCTGTATACTCGCCTTCTGCAAACAAATGAATGGCAGGCTCAATTACACAGGCCAATGACACTTATTTACAGCTGCTTTTCGGAAGTGATGGGAAGGATGACAAAGAGTTGGTCATTATTGAAACCACAGATTGAAAAGAAAATGTAATAGAGAAGTGTACTTTAGAGACTGTGGAGGAGTTTTAATTGAATCTTGTTTTGCATTGTGGTTTAGGTCCAGGTGGGAGTCTTAATATAGCAAAAACAGATCTTAATCTTAAAGACTTGAAATGGGAACATTTATTTGGTAAGAATAAGTGTTATTTCTCCTCCATCGATGACCTGAATTTAATCCGTTCAGTGAGTCTTTTTCAGCCTTTTCTGTTGCATACACACTCACCTACATCTAGAGTGTATGTCTCTACTGACTGTATGTGCCTTATTCTATATAGTCTAAGTGCCCTGGAGCAAAAACCACATGTTCCTGTTAGAGCTACACAGTACAGTGTGACTCTTTTTTTTATCTATTGGTCAGAGAAATCCATTAGTAATCTGCAGAGCTGCCTGTAGAGAAGTGAATTAAATTGATCGCCACGGTGACCACAGCTCACAGAGGTTACAGTTAATTATTGATCTCGCATCTCAGGAGAGCCTCACCGCTCACCTTAAAGGAGCCGGCTGAGGATCAAGCCTCTTTAGAAATCCTTTCCAGGTGAGCCGACCCATACAGTGCTTGATAAATGCTTACTGTTATTCAAAGATGACTCCCAGCAACACAGGGTAACACTCTGCAGCTATTTTTAAAGCTCCTGACGTTTCACAAGAGGATAATTGTAATCTCCTGTGTATAAGATTTTACTTTGCTCTTAGAGCAGATGTGTATCTGTCATGCATTGTGTGCATAAATGTGTACTGTTGGCTCCACATGCCAAATATTCTCATAAATAAACCATTTGCAGTCTCTCACATCCACCTTTGCAGAAGTAATAGGCTTGTTGCATCACTAAAACAAAGAAATAACTTGGCTAAATTAGATTTTGCAAGCTACACTATGGAAATAATGTTGAAACTACCCTTTGGCTAGCCAAGCATAATAATGCAATAAGGCCAGATTATAAAAAAATAAAATAAAAGCTTCTATGAGGAGTTTTTTGATGATTGTGGAATAGACTGAAATTTATACTGAAGCTCATTTATCATCTACAAAAGCAAACAAGACCATCAGCAATAAGACTAAGGACTCTATCCACCACAGACTGCAAGTTCCTCACAGGAGCCTAAAGCAAATCAATATAATTGCTTGTGTGTTTGGTATTAAGCTTGGTCATAGCATCAGGATAAAATGCACTTGTACAGAAAAAAGTTTTTGTTTTTTTTCCCAGCAAAGCATATCAACACCAAGGGATGCTAATGCCAATAAGAATAGATTAAAAACAGCTTTCGCGCAATAAAAATAGCAAATTACCATCATAAACAGGCAAATTATGACTAATTATTTTAATTAATGTTACATGGAATCATTAAAAATGACAACATAAATTGTGCACACAATAAAAATGAACACTTTATGGGACCTTTAGGGCTCCATAAAACAACAACAACTTGTACCAGCCACAGAACAAACAAAATAAATGGTACATAGGCGAGGGATTCCCCATGAGACCTCTCCAAGTCTGCTCACAAAAAAATGTCACCTCTGATTCGGTTTTTAATGCGACAATTACGAGGTCTTTTCTCAGTCTCGCTCGCCCAGGATCACCCAAGGACACCTGGGACCGAGTGGAACAAGCTTCCCCCCTTGCTGTGACAGATAATTGCTTTCTTCTGCAGAGGGGCTTCAACCCCCAAACTCTCAGCGTTTGTGAATGCCCTTCTGGGTAAAGACAAAGTCATCTGATTACCCTCATGGCAAGAGCGGCCTAAAGGCATTATCTTTAAATTCGTGTAACTCGATCTCCATCCTCGGTTTCATGATTTCCCTCTACTTTCGGAGGATCTGGTTTCTATTTCTTAAATTTTCTTGTCCCTTTATGTGCAGATATCTCCATCCACTGGCGTCATCTTTCATGAGGGCACCCCACTTGGTTTGTCCCCACTGAATGTCACCTGAGTGATGAACTTCGGCAGGGAGGTGGCCCGACAGACCAGTTGTTACACTTATGTGATAGAGGATGAAGATCCAGCCCTGGCAAGCCTTAATATATTTGAGGTGAGGCTGTCACCAAACTCAACGGCAAATCGCACAATTTTAGAAATGGGGTGCATTTTAAGGTGAATGGATAAATATCAAACCATAAAAGTCCGACATGAAGCATTTTAAGAGGTTTTTTGGGGGGATTTGACCAGTGTTTATGTAACATCCAATCTGTAATCCCACCTTGTGTAACCTGGGGTCATTTTAAAAGCTGAACAGAAACACTCGTATTGTGTAATAATCTTACGTGAGTCACACAGTATTTAAATTCAGGGGCCAATGGACGTTATGTCATACATGTTGTCAACACAGGCTTAAAACCTGCTATCATGTAAATGAAACAGAGAAGTTAAGACTACAATCGTAACACCATCTTCCTCTGTTATGTGACCTCCTATGACCACCTAGCTGGCCGAGAAGGGTGACCTGGCTCACCTGGAGAACCTGGTGAGGAAGAATCCAGAGGTCCTGAGTGAGAAAGATGAGCTGGGAGCCAGTCCCCTTCATCACGCCGCCGCAGGGGGCTACATCACCCTCATCCACTTCATCAGCACTGTCATCGACTCAGAGGGTAGGCACGTCACGGTCATCCATCATAACATACACTTGGAAATTATGTATATTGTGAATCAATATATAACTAAATATATAGGTGCATTTTTGGTAATAATAGACAGAGGTTTCTTTATAGAAAATCTGTAATCTGAGTTGTTTGTGTGTCTTTCCAGAGAGGAACAGCTGTGATGATCATGGCAACATGCCGCTACACTGGGCTGTGGAGAAGAACAAGCCAGAGAGCTGCAGGGCTCTGCTGGATCTGGGGGCAGACCCCAACGTCCTGAACACGGCCCTCCTGTCCCCTCTGCACCTGGCTGTCAGCCTGGGACACAACAACCTGGTGGAGGTGGGGATGCTGGAAAGAACAATTTATATGAAGTGGATTTACTCCTGAAGGTTACTGCAGATGCACAAGAGAGTTTGAAACACAGGGATCATTGTTTTAAGGTAGATCAGCAGTCAAAGTTTACCTCAGTTCACAACGTCATGCAAAGTGTTAGAGCAGCACTGAAAAAACAGCGAACATGAGCACTGTGATGGTTTTTACAGCTAATACTTAAATAGTAGAATATACAGTTCAGGACTTTAGGTTTAAAGGACTTAAATAAAAAAGGAAAGAGGGTGATGAATATTGTAGCTTTTTAGTATCCTGAATGGATGGTTAGCTGTTTTGCAGACCGGCAGATGGTTTTTGACATTTTTATCACAAATTTCACTCCCATTTCATATCTAAGTTTGTGAGATGATCCAGAAAATTGCAGAGTTGCTTGATAGAAGCAGATTTTAGCACCATGGAGGCTTGTTTGCTCATCCACGAACCAAATGAGACTGATACAAATTATTTTGGTGGATGAGCCTGACAGCAAAAAGCAGCAGGCTTTTTTTGTTTTATTTGGAGATTTTGGAATTGCTTCTCAGTGAATGAGAGATTTCTTAGGTAAAAAGTTAGTAATTATTTCTATTTTAAGATATTCTTTTTGAAGAAATGACACTGACTTTCTGTGATTTTGCTGAATGTTGCATTGGTACATTTTTTTTATTAGAAAATAGGCACTGCCAGCACGATAAATGGTTTAAAAGAATACAAGGAATACACAAACACTTAAATGAACACAAAATACACATTGGAGGCAGGCTTTTTTGCCTAATTTTCATGGTGCACCTTGTTTACAGACAACATGCATTGTGATGATAGTGTGTCCCTTATTTTCATACATTCCCAATCATTCACCTGTACAGCCTACACACCTGACACCACCAAAGTTGGTGAGGGTTCAGTGTTTAGGCTGTAAGGCAAAGACTGGCACTGGACCGTTGTCATTCAGTTTAACAGTGAATAACTTTCTCCAGACACACTTTAGCTAATCTAATTTAAAATACGTAATGAGTGGCGATGTAAAATTGCAATTATTTCCTTATTCTCACCTCTAGTTTAAAAGGAAATGGTTAGCCCTCTGTAAAAGAAATAAGAAATATCAATGCAACCCACAAATCTAATCTTCATTAGTGCATGGACTTTGTCAATTTGAGCAGCAGCTTTCTTGCAAAGTCAACAAACAACTGTTCACACATCTGAGATAAAAAAAAAAAAAAACCCTGACTCAACTGTCTTCTTGGAAAGACCTTGTCCTGTCATCCCTGTGGCATTTGGCTGTTGTCCACCGACTGACACAGTAAAAGTATGTGGGAGGATAAAGGAGGCACAGGGTGTATGTTAAAAAGAGTTAAGGACAGATGGAGGAGGCTAACTGTTTAAGTTTTTATCGTCCCCCCCTCCCTGCAGCTGCTGCTGACCTACAACACTACAGACTGTAATCTTCAGGGAGACCTTGGGAACACCCCGCTGATTCTGGCCTGCTCCATCAATAACTGCGAGGCTCTCAACATGTTGGTATGCACAAAAGTGAAGCTTTCACACACATATATCCTTTCTGTTTACCTGCAGCAGCCTGTAAAGGATAACTGTCCAGCTGTACAGGACAGATTATGTCGCTGTTTTTTATTCTGACTGCCAGCCCTCTGCAGCTTTGTCTCTGACAAAGAATCGTCTCTGTTTGTCTTTCTTTCCATCCATTCTCCTCTCTGTCAAAGATAGCGCATGGAGCGCGCCTCTGCCAGCAGAACAAGCTCGGCCATTTCCCCATCCATGCAGCTTCCTTCGCAGGTGCAAAGAAAGCCATGGAGGTGATCTTGAAAGCCGGTACGACAACAATGAATCTGTCATAAAAACGGAAAGTGCTGATAAAAATGAGAAAAACTACAACAAGGTCATGCAGCATATTACACTGATAGATAACAAGAGAGTTTACCTCGGCCCCCCTGAGAGCTGAAAAGTGCTTGTGATTCCTCACATACAGGCCAGATGCCACAGACTGACAGTGTGTTTATCCACAGTGGGAGGTCTGTTTGGTAAATGTTGTGTTTTGGAGGAAGGTTTCGCCAGAGCACAAAAATATTTGGAATAATTCTGTAATTACTCAGTAAGGACATTAATGCAGAGCCCACCATGACAGGACACAATTACTCATGACTTCCTTTCACAAAGAAAATCACCTCGAAGATCTCTCAGAGTAATGTAGTCCACAGCGGGACGGGTTCTTGTGCTGGTTTAAGGGAATTACTGACAATATAACTTCACTCACCATTGCTCCTCCACCTGCCAATCAGTGCACTCTTAGAGCTGTCAATCATGTGATCAAAAATTATCCAGAATAATGAACACTGGGACATCAATGAGAATAATAACTACGTATAAAGACAGAGTCTGTTTTTTGATTTTAAAGTTTCTTTCATGTTTCATCTGTTTACATGGAGGAGGCGTGATTTATGACCAAAACTGCTGCCAGTCAGTTAAAGGAGCTCCAAATGTTTGGGTGTCACTTTCTGGTAGCCATCATGTCATCCATCTTTTTGGACTAATACACTCGGAGAGTGTCACTTTTGATAATAATCTGTATAAAGTTGATTCTTCAAGACTGTTTACTTGATTTTCTGCTTCCAGGTGATAAGGTGGGCCACCAGATTGAAGGACACATCAACTACTTAGACAAGTCCAACAGCAGCCCACTTCATCTGGCTGTACGTGGCGGAAATATCGACGCCATCCGACTGTGCATCACCATGGGGGCCAGAATTGACCAGCAACAGGTACTAACAAAAACATACTAGTTTCTTCCCCTGTAATGTTGGTTGTTTGGGGGAGAAACTGATAAAGAGAGAGAAAAAGATGTGGCTCACATCGGGTAGCTGCTTGGTACGTCATTCAGCTTATCACCTAATGAGTCTCTCTTGTCATCTCAGCCATTACTGTTGATCTTTTATCGCGTATTTAAAGTAAAGCCCTGAAAAGTGTCTGAGACACCCAGAGGCTTCAGCAGCAGCACCAGCAGACCGCAAACTGCTTGCATCCTGAATCAAAAAAGACAAACCAGTCAAATCTCTACACATGTTGGGATTGTCAACGCTGGCAGACCTTTATTTGTTTGTCACCACTGCTTTCCCTATCGCTCTTAACATAGTTTTACTTCTTCTGCTCACAACTTCTGCAAATAATGTGCCATCTGTCCATACGCGCTTTGTCACATTTGCATCCTTTTATTTGTCACAATCCTATTTGCCTACACCTGTTAGACATTTCCCATTTGGCTCAGTAGAGACAAGGGTCCCCATCTCCACTGTTGGAGATTGACGTCAGTCTTATCACGCCCATCTGGCGATGATGGTTCTGTCCACGCCTGGGGTAGCGGTCAGAGCTGCAGCAGCAGTAGTTACTACAGTAATGGCTTCCGATGCCTAAATTGATACAAATTACCTCCACTTACACACTGAAGCTGAGTGGAGCGATCACTCCCCAGTCCTGGTTATCTCTCAGGCTTGTGTTACAGCCCCCTGTGATCAGCCTCGGAGCTGCTAATGTTACACTGGGGAAGTGTACAGTATGTTTGTGTGTAAGTGAGTACCATTAGTGCCTTTGTGCATGCTAAGTCATTCTCTCTGGCTCAGTCTGTCAAAGTGTCTTTGTGTGAAGCAGACATAATCACGTTTGGAGAGCTTGTGAATATTCATGATTTTTATTCATAATTCATTCCTCGTAATTGTTCCGTGTTTGTTGAATGCAGAATGACAGGTCCACGCCGCTTCATTTGGCCTGTACCCAGGGTGCTACTGAGGTAGTCAAACTGATGTTGTCCTCTATTGACCGAGTGGAAGATGTCATTAACCTCGCTGATGGGGCGCATCAGACCCCTCTGCACAGGTGAGCTCACTCTGTCAATCCACCACCAGTCTTTAAATTGTTCACTGAGTGTGTTTATTGTAGTCAATTGATAGTGCTCTCCTGATTATATCACCTCTCTGTTTTTGTGGATAATGAAATGGGTTTGTCTGTGGCTCCATTTAGGTTTCTCTACTAGATTTAAAAAAGCATTAAAAATGCCTCTAGTGGGGCTTACTTTCCTTCCTTTCACTAATAAGATCCATGCAGTTGATTGCTGTATGTGGGGCTATTTCACAGCTGGATCGGTATCAAACTGTGACTGTGTGTTTTATCATTATTGCTTGGTGACCAGTGTTAACTTCAGCAGCCTAAGTCACTCAGCATGTAACCTGCTATAAAACCAAATACTATCACTGTTAATATTTTATTGTAGAAATGATATTAACAATGTCATATTGGTGTGAGTTTCTCCCTGGGAAGACAATCAGGTTCATTTCAACCCTCGATGGCTGAAGTTTGATTCAAATATGATCTAGTTAAAAAAAAGATAAATTCCATAGGATGCGGTTAAACCAAATCTTAATATCAATCAATAATTGAATTGAATAGTTAAATTTATTCAATATAACTGAATAAATAATAAAAGACATTGTTTTTAAAAAAAAAGAAAAACATAAAAACGTTTGTTCTCTTCTTAGAACCTCTCTCTGAATGTCACATACATGGCGTTTGAGCACCCTTTTGCCACTTTCCCTTCAATTAGAAGCTACTTTCCATGACACTTTCGGCTACTCAGATATTACCGCAAAAACCAACACTCCAAATATTCCAGTACAGCTGCAATAAAACGGGCTGTTGTTGTGATACTGCACACTAAATGTTGTGACTGGAAATGATGGGCTAGTGGCTGCCTCTACTGCTAGATGTTGGATGTCAATCACATTGTGGATCACCCCGTAGCGCACCTGGCAGTCTTTGTGAAAGTTAAAAGGTCATCGTCTAAGAGAGATTAAAGCCAGCTAAACAGGGCACAGAAATAACTTAGCAAAACCTCAGCCAAACAGATCATAGCTATGTAACTGGCCCATCATCATCGTCAGATTTTTGTACATTAACCGGTCAAGACTGGTAGATACTCACACCCCTGTGAGTTAGCTACTAGACTGAGAATTCAATATGACTTTGGCCTTTCTGCTACTGCTAATGAATCTGGTTACTCAAACAAATGTTTATTCTGAAACAGCAGCATTCAACAAATACCCAAGCAGTCTTCACTGTTTAATGGTGTAAAACTGGAGTGGAAATGTGGCTAATGAGGCCAATCAGAGCAGCAAACACTTGGCATAGCAGACACATGCCACTGCAGAGAAGCATATTACATACTGCAAGCTTGACAGGCACTAGTTCTATATGTTAGCAGTTAGCTTCAACTTTATTTCAGTACATAGACAAGTTATTATTCTGACCATTTGTATGTGATGTAAACCGAACAAACAGTGACCCCCATTAAGTTTTCTCAAGGTTTGCTGTATTTCTCCTCAAAAAGTACTGATTGGTGTGAGCATGGAGCCTGGCTATTTTGGTAAACTCACCGGCCAGTTACTGCCTGGATGACAACATGAAAAGAAACCTTGCCAAGCTTCCAGCACTACATTTTTCACAAAGACATGAACATTTCAAACAGTGCCCTGTGGTTATACCATCCAGCCTGAGTAATTTCACGCTCATAATGTAGGAAATAAAATGTTTGGAATTTAATACAGTATTTATAAAATGTTATGGTTCCATTTTAACTTCCAGTCATATATCTGAAATAGCTTTGGTCTCTCTGAACTAGTTGCTCATGCTGTAAAAAGACCAATCCATCTGCATAATATCAATACTGTGACAAACAAGAGGGACACAGATATAAAACCCTTGGGTATGACTAGCCGAATAATGACTTTTTAATTAGGCACCAACTAATGATATGAATACAAACGTAAGCTCTGCTTCCAACTATGGTTTTATCTGAGAGCTATTTGTGTTGGCTGAGACAGCAGCTGAGTAAAACTGATATGAGACAAAAGGGAGAGAGGATGGAGCCCTGTTTACTTTACTTTAAACAGCGATGCTTCGGTCTCCAGCTTCATTTGTGAATTTTATATCTGAGCTTTTAAAGCAGATTATCATTCAGACACGGAAACCGGCTTTAAATTGAATCTTTATTTTTGTGAAGAATGTAAAAACGGTAGCTGTGATCAAACTTTGTATGAATGCCATGAGCCAGAGCAGTTGAAATGATAAAAGATGTAACCAAAGGGAAGAAATGCCAGCTTGTATTATCATGCTCTGACTGGGCAGACTTAGAATTGGATCGTTTTAATTGAACATTTGACCGTACTTGAAACCCCGGCTTACAATCACATGTTGTGCGGCTGGTTTTACAACAACTGTGTTTACTTTTCCAGGGCTACAATATTTGACCACGCTGAGCTGGCAGAGTACCTAATTTCATTGGTAAATAAGCCAAACACACAACACACTCTCACAAACACACCCTGCAGCTGTCATGCACATGGCATTTCCAGCTTTAATATCACGCACTATGTTATCGATCTATTACCATGAGTTCAAGATCTACATCTAAAAAATATTTGCAGTTTTAGACACACCTTTGGGCTTGATAACTGTCCTTGGCTTATAGACCATCTGCTGTAAGTCATAGATCATAATAAGGTAATCATGTTGGTAGAAAGAAACATGGAGTCAAAGATTAACCTCTTGTCATCTCATTAAGTTAGTGAGGGGGAATAAATTGTTGTATTTAATTAAAAATGATCTCACAAACAGACTAATTTGTTGCTAAATCTTGTTGTCAGGAAGTTAAAGTTAGCATACTCATCAGCTGATGTTTCTTACACTGTACTCTAAATGTTATTTTAAGATAAGAGTGTCATTTTGTGTCCTTATATAACCCTCTCTAGCAGATTAACTCACAGTATTGTTCACGTATTCAAACATTTAGCTAGTTAGCGTAACACGAGTTTGGGTAGCATCAACTGAGGTTGCTTACAGGGATTCAAACCATATCAAAGTTAATTAAAACAAATGTTAGTAATATATTAACTATATTACTAAGATAAGAGTGTCATTTTGTGTCCCTATATCACCCTCTTTAGCGGCTTAGCTCACAGTCTTGTTCACATATTCAAACATTTAACTTGTTAGCACAACACGAGTTTGGGTAGCATTAGCTGAGGTTGCTCACAGGGATTCAAACCATATCAAAGTTAATTCACAACAAATTTTAGTAGTAATATATTAACTGTATTACTTGATAAGAGTGTCATTTTGTGTCCTTATATCACCCTCTTTAGCGGCTTAGCTCACAGTCATGTTCACATATTCAAACATTTAGCTAGTTAGCACAACACGAGTTTGGGTAGCATTAGCTGAGGTTGCTTACAGGAATTCAAACCATATCAAAGTTAATTAAAACAAATTTTTAGTCATATATTAACTATTAAAAACCCATGTTGTTGATGCATGTTCTCAGGCTGGTTATACATTGCACTCCAATTGTAATTCTCTGTATCTGGCGACAAACACCAGAAGCACTCAGAATGTTTCTGGTGTTCTGTCGATTCAGGTTTGTCGAACATGTGATTTACAATGCAGAGTTTTACACAGATGCTGCTCATTTTCTCATGGTTTGATGTATATGAAATCAATAAAGGTGTGTGTGTTCAAACTGAAGGGCTTTTCCCTCCTCAGGGTGCAAACCTGAACTGCATTGATTGTAAAGGGAACTCTCCCTTGCTGCTTGCTACTAGCTGTGGTGCATGGAAAACAGTGACTTTACTGCTAACAAAAGGTGAGCCACTTGCTGCACTTCACTATTAACAATGCTCTAAAAGTGTCTAAACTGCTTGACAATGTTGGGGTTGTTTTGTTGCTTAGGGGCAGATATAAATGAGAAAGACAGACGTGGTTGTAACTTCCTTCACCTGGCCATCCTGCAGCCTAAAGGACTGAAAAACCTCCCAGAAGAAGTCCTCCAGGTAAATCACTGTTGCCTGTTTGTGACTCATTAAACTCACTGCGTCCCGCTAAGTTGTAGAAATCATTAAGCATTGAATTTAATAGCAGCACTGTCCTTGATCAATTAGCCCTGAGCTGAGTTTCACACTATCAAGGCCGGCTGATGAAGCTCATTATACTCTCTCTAAGCCAGATGATCCTTTGAAACATTATCAATTTTACCTAAAGCTACAGTGATGCCTTTAAAATGAGGCACACAGGATGTCTGATATTTGCATTGGGTATAAAATCCACACATCTATGATCTAATATTATTACCCCACATTATTATTCATATAATCTCCGTGGGTGTGTATAGCTCTAGTCATAGTTGCATAAGACGTTCTCTTTCTGCTGCACCACTGCTGCAGCATACCTTAAGTTTCTGCATTTGTGCTTGGTTAGATATGCATATTACTGAATATTATTATGTATGAATACATAAGTGCTTTGATATTTTGTCTGACTTCAGCATAACAGCGTAAAGGCTTTGCTCAGCTGTGAGGATAACGAGGGCTGCACACCGCTCCACTACGCGTGCAGACTTGGGATCCATGACTCAGTGAAGAACATGCTGGGCCTCTCGGGGGAGGTCGGCCTCGCCTGCAAGTCCAAGGACAAGAAGTCTGCCCTGCACTTTGCTGCTCAGTGAGTTCGATTGGTCCCAGAGGGCATGACTTTCCATATCACTGGACTAAACAACTCTTATTTGACCTGATTTGTTTTTTTTTTGCTTAAAGTTAAACAAACTTTGTGAGTTTGATCGAGAAAGTGCCAGCAGTATCTCTAATTTTGACATTAACCAGAGAGAAAACCTTGCTTCTTCTTTAGTGATTTCATCGTTTTATCTTAAAGCTAAACAAAATAAGCTGCTCTGTCATCAAAGCCAACGTGTCCTCTCTCAAATCCTTACATATGCCAATTTTTTTAAACTTTCGCACAAATAGTCTACAAACTCAAAAATCATCCTGACGGCACTCAGCTTTCAACGATTCAAGAAATCCTGAGAGTCAATAACCTGACATACCAGAGTTTATTTCATTACAGTCTATGATTACAGTGCACCATGGGGCGCATGCCTCTTGTCTGCAGGGGCCCCAGCAGAGGGCGCTCATTTTACACACAGGATACCAGCCAGAATTTCTTATAGAAAGAGTTTCCACATTAATACCAAAAATGGCAAATGATAACAAATGGTGGCAATTCCCAATAAGTCTAATCACTGACACTGCCACATAAACACACAGTAATCAGCAGTTTGCACAAGTTAATAACTTGATTGCACGTCATAATTATCTTGTATGAGAGGTATTACCTTGTTCAAACAAAGTGGAGTTACGAGCGTTATCGGACTCCGGGGCTCCATGATATATTTATTTAAACGGCAGAAGAAATTGCTAATCATAAACCAATATTTTAAAAAGGAAAACATTGCCAGGTACACATCTTCCCTCATATTTTCTATGAAATTCTGTCACTTTTTTGAGTTAGTCTGTGAAAAGTTGTAAGGATTGATCTGTGATACCATGAGGGAATAAAACTTGAGTCAAAAAAGTCCTTTAGAGACCTTTAACGTCAGATTTTTTCAAAACTGGACAACTTATCTTTATAATTGGACAACAGAGGAAAAATGAACACCTGGCTTTGTGTGAAACTGTTACCTGTCTTGTCTTGATTCAGTGATCTCTACTCAAAAGCCTTTTCATGATTTATTGCATGACATATCTATTATACAGCGACCCAAAAGGAATTGTCACAAGAATAGAATTCAATTAGTGAGGCACACGTAAAGAAGAGTAACTAATAGTGTGAAATGAGTGGACATCCAACATTATTGTTATTGATTTTTCTCCCATGAACGCCTCTTTCATTAAAGCTGGAGGGCAAATGAATGCCATGGTATGATATCATGCTTTAATTCTTGCAGACAGCTCATTCTCTTCCTCCACCAATCCCACTGTACTGACACAAAGTGCTGCTGACCTCCTTAAAAGGTTCAAAGACAATGAAAGATCCCAGCACAAGCTCATGTGTCATCAATTTGATCTGGCTGTCTGCAACACCATTAGTCATTAACATTCCCAAACACTTAAAACTAGAATTTTACCACCAAGTTCAAGCCCTACAACAGCTATCTAAAGTGTCTGAGCAACATACTCAATCGCCAAGATGAAGTGAGCTGTAACTGCCCTCGGCCTCTCGCTCTGATGTGCTGTGGGCCATGCACAAAAAGCATTTCCATTTCAGAGAGCAACAGATCATAAGAGTGGGAAAGTTCCCTTTCAAAAGCTAATGCTTCTCCTCATCCTTCTCTTCATTAAGATATGGGCGCATCAATACGTGTCACAGGTTACTGGAGACCATCACGGACTCTCGCCTGCTAAATGAAGGTGATGAGCGGGGCCTGACTCCTCTTCATCTGGCTTCAAGGGAGGGACACACTAAAGTGGTGCAGCTGCTGCTGCGCAAAGGAGCTCTCTTTCACAGGTAAACCCAAACTCAGAGGAAAAAAACATGTGCATACTGCACAACCAAACCTTCAATGTTTAAACATGCAAAAAAACACAGCACATAAAGCTATCATCTACCCTGTTACATGTACAGATAAACCTTGAAGGAGGCTCTACTTTTGATCTTCTGCTCTCAGGATCACCAAAAGCCTTCTTGGGTGGCATTGAGTGTATTGTGCAGTGTTTATATTTAAAAATTAGTTTGATCAGAGACATGTTTACAGGTAGTAACAATGGATGCATCCTCAAAACTAGACGTTTTGCCACTTCTTCCAGTTTTCCTTAAAATTAAATAAGGTTTGATTGTAAGCTTTGACTGTACGGCTGCTTTAAGGGAAAAAAAGCATGGGGGATTTTTGGGAATAAAGTCACAATATTACAATTTTACAATAAAATCATATTGTCGGAAGAGTAGAGTTGTAATATAAAGATTATAAAGTCATATATTTAGGCTGTGGTTATCTTGTACCTTACTTTGAAGGGTGACTTCAGCACTTGCAGCTATTTTCTCCACAAAAGAGGCAATTTCCTTCAAGTCAGAGCTGTTCATTTCACATAGAAGACTTCCTCAATCTTTCCAGTCTTGGTACTCATTGGGAGTTTTTTTTTTCCAAACCTATGCTGAATTATGACTTCATAAGATGCCCGGGGTTCCTTATTTTAGCACAGCTGCTTCTTTGATATCTCCTACAAAATAAAACAGGCTTACTGTAGCCCAAAAATGTAAATGTTCTCTCACTATTACGACCTCTTTCTTTAAAAATGTCTCCAAGTTTGTTCTCATAACATTGTGTCAAATCATGTTTTAAGTATGTTTACATTTCTTTTAGTGATTACAAGGGCTTGACTTGCCTGCACCATGCAGCAGCAGCAGGATACACACAAACTATGGAGATCCTCCTCTCAGCCAATCCCAAGTTACTGGATAAGACAGATGAAGATGGGGTATGGATGACAATCATTTCAAATAACTTGATCTCTATTAACAGACTCTGTGAAAATGCAGAGTCAGGTCTGGCTTTGAGACGAGAAATCAGTAACCCTGACAAACAGCCAGTATGGAGAGCAAAAGCAGGCGTAACGCAGTCTTGGCTCAAGTTAACTATCTGCTGTTCCCCAGCTTTTTAGGCCACATAAGATACATAATCCACTTGATTTCTAGTCTGCACACAAGCCCTTTAACAGTCTGATATTACTTTTACTCTAGTAGGCCAGAGTGAAGCTACTTTGACAAAGAGTTTACAGTGGAGCCAAGACTTAACAGAGACAGATGAACAGGTGCTACTCTGGGGATAAAATCCACCAAAAAATGAGGGGATCTCTTCAACTGGTGAATTTAGTTTTCCTTTGACCTAAATATGATCACTTCTCATTTTGCAAGCTGGACTGTTTACAAGGTAGAAAAAAGGCCTGGCTAGAAGTTGGTCATCACTAACTGCGAGCTACATTTTTCCTAGAGGAATATGTAATTGCTAGGGGATAGCTGATGCCAAGAATTTAATATTGTCTTAATCATTTAGTGAATTTACTGTTAACGATGCAGAGTTTCACAAGTTTTACAACTGATGACTTTTATTTTCCTCTTATCACTAATACACCAGAACACAGCTCTCCACCTTGCAGCAAAAGGGGGTCATGTGGCTGCCGTCAGGCTCATGCTTGGCCGCGGAGCAGAGTTGATGCTAAACAAAAATGAAACATCATTCCTCCATGAAGCTGTGCAAAATGGGAGAAAAGATGTGGTCAACGCCATAATCGACAGCGACAGGTATAAAACCGCGCCAGTGTCAGTGAAGAAGAGATAAATTCACCAAACAGCTCACACTACAGGCTGTTTTATTTATGGGTTGATTTTATGAGCCATGTTATAATCTTGCATTTCAAGGTTGCGCTGTGAAAACCATGAATCTTTAAAACATCCACTACACCATCCAATGATATTTAATGCAGTTCTTCTTTCTTACAGATTAGGTGAAGCCCTGAGACTGTTTATCCCCGGCTCCAGCCACCGATGTGCCATCCTCGATATGATTGAGTTTCTTCCCGAAACCTGCAAGGTTTCAACTAGCAAAGGACAAAATATACTAGTCATAAATTTGTCCAAATCTGTGCTCTCAGCAGTCTTTACTCTCTTTGCATTCAAATTGAAAATAGCTTTTTGCAGCTCCTCTGTCATTGTGTGTTTCTGCTTTTTTCACCAGCACCTACTGGACAGCTGTGTGAAGGAATCTGATGACGACCACAACAGCCAGAACTATCATGTAATTCAGCTACAAGTTGCACAATTAGAAAAACACTCTGATCTCTATTGTGCTTGGTGTCTTAACTTTGATCATTCTGTGTTTTTAGATCGAGTATGACTTTGGGTTCCTGCAGGCTCCTATCATCATGTTGAAGGAGCACCCTGACACAAAGACTGCGCCGCTAGCTGCACTCAATGTAAGCAACTTTAATTCCCCCCAAACAGCTTTTTGGTACAAACAATTTAACTGCAGGTGATGAAGATTCACTTTTCTGCCGTGATAAATAAAAACAATTTATTTGATTTTTTAAAAATGATTACTTATTTCTTTCCTTTTGTCGTCCCAAAAATGAAGTTCAGATTTTGATTAAAGGACAAACACGTAAAAATGTTTTGACTTTATGCTGCATTCCAGTTACCTCAGAAGTCGGATATCGGAGCAGGGAATGACGTCACACCCGAGTTACCAGCGTTTCAGTTACCAAGTTGGAAAACCAAAATGGACACCTATATTAGCGGTTGTCAGCTGTTGTTAGCCGTTGTCAGTTGTTTTTAGCTGCTGTTAGCTATACCAGTTGTAAACAACGCATAACACAGTATTTTACTCTTACAAACACAATAGCACCGTGTTCACAGTTAAATGTTGGGCAATACAACACATACCACTTGTTTAATTTCACAAAAACAAAGTGCTAATAAATAATACATTGCAAGGGCTTTCACTGTTACACTTCACTGTTGATGCACTGCGCTGCCATCTTAGAATATGACGTTGTCGTCAAGTTGGGGTTGGAGGATCGTCCAATTTTCCGAGTTGGAAATGCAACTTCAGGGGGGCGTTCCAGATGAATTTCCGACTCAGACGCAGCATTAATCTCAGAAAACCAACCTTTTATTAATGCAGTCTGTGTTTGTCCGAACACTGCTTTGTTAAACAACTTGTCACAGTTCAAGATTATGGAGTGCTACTCTGGGGTGGCCACTCAGACTTCAGGGGCCATGCCTCCTCAGGTCATACCCTGTGCACACCCTTGCACTATAGAATAGAGAAAGGTGCAAACAATACACCTGTCTCATGTTTATTCACACTGTGACACTTGCTGTAATAGCAACCCAGTTATAATAGATGTAATCTGCATGCAAATGTTCACAGCTGTAATTTGGCGACTGTTCTCAGCCTTATTAACGCAGCTTCTTTTCGTACACAGTGGTATTGAGTTATTATATTTGTTACGAACACAAACAGCCGTCTCTGCCACCATTTGTCAGGAAATGCTCATAGCATGTTTGTGCCCGCTGATGTCATCTCACATTATGCTCGTGGAGATCGATAAGATGCTTTCACATTTAAATCTTTTAAGCCCTGGCTGTCAGACTGCTTGTAGGGAATGTGCCATTAACAGCAGACGATTTTTCTGTTTCTCTATCTGCAGGCGATGGTGCAGTACAACCGCATTGAACTACTCAACCACCCCGTCTGCAAGAAATACCTGGCCATGAAGTGGTGTGTATTTGTGATTTAACCCTTTAGAGTGACAAGTCTGATATATATTGTTAATCAAAGGTGTTCCAATGTAAACCGCTCCGTCTCTTCTTTTGTTTGAACCCACAGGGTCGCCTATGGAAGCAAAGCTCACGTGCTCAACATGTTCCTTTACCTGTTAGGCATTCTGCCCCTCACTCACCTGATTGTGAATCTGAGACCCACTCTGAACACCACGGTTACAGGCGACCACAACATCATCATGGTGCCCATTTCTTTCACTGAGGTACAAATGACAGAGATAATCAGCACTGAATCTTGAAGTTGTGTGTTTATGTTACGATTACTCGAATGCCAGCACAAAGCAGCAACAATTTTTTCAAAAGAATCTGAAAAAAATCTACTTCTTGCTACTCAAAGCATCCTGCATTCTCAAGGCTGAGACAAATGGCATACTTTGGTGTTCATGAATAATAACCCCATAAAATAAGCAGTAATCAACATTCTCTGAGGATTTAAATCTTTTTTTTTTAACCACAGCAAAGTGTCCTCCTGTCCGTCTGCATGGCAATGGTCTTGATCATGAACATCTACTCCATCATAAAGGAATTGGTGCAGATAGCCCAACAGGTACAGCACTCACGTGTCATTACCTCATAAGGAGCAGAAGCCCATAAGTCTGTTCAGCAGCAGAGCAGGTCTGTGTGGCTGCATAAGCAGTCAGCTGTGATGAGTGGAGTCACCTCTTAAACGAACTCTTACTCTGATCCACACTTGGGTTTTTAACACAAAAAAAGTTGGTTTATCTGTTTTGTGTTTTTGCTGTTTTTCTCTTTCTGTCAAGCGTTCGAATTACTTAAAGGATTATTCCAACCAAAGTGACTGGATATCGGCCATTTTGTCCCTCAGTTTCATCATCCCTGTCATACTCAATGTACGGAGTTCCCTGCACTGGCAAGCAGGGGCAATGGCAGTTTTGAACGCCTGGATTGGATTTCTTCTCTATCTCCAGAGGTGCTGCCCAGAGTGCTGAATTTCAATATAATGTTTTTTTACAGTGTAGTGGCTGCTAACTGATCTGACCTTCTGCTTCTCCAGGTTTGAGGGTGTCGGCATTTACGTTGTGATGTTTGGAGAGATCATGAGGACGCTGATGCGTATTGTGATGCTGTTCGTTTACCTGCTCTTTGCATTCGGTTTGGCTTTCCATGCTCTCATGCTCAATCAGGTGAGAGAAAGAAAACAGTAAAAGAAAATTGTACTACTAAAGTATTTTATATGAGCCCCAGAGGCGCTTGTGGTTCTAAATATCACGTGAAAGAGAGACCGACATATTCTCAGTTTTGTCAGAAGTGTAAAACGTTGCTAGGAAGCTTGGTACTAACTATTGAGGCGTTTTCTAAATACATTAAAGAAAACTCAGAGGGAAGGTTGGCATGTTCGTGGGGGAATCAAGCAACACTTGTGGTGCATCTTAACATCAATTTCATGTTGTATAATTTCCTACCATTCCTTTAAAAACACTCTTGATGAACAGTACAACTGTCCGGCTCTTAAAAGATAAATGTGGCTTCCTGTTTTGAATCTTCAGAAAGAGTTTGACAATGTGCCGCTCTCAGTGATGCAAACCTTTGCCATGATGGTCGGAGAACTAAACTACCAAAATAACTTCCTGGAGCCTTACCTGAAGAAGCAGCTGCCTTTTGGCCCGCTGACTTACTTTATCTTTGTGAATTTTGTTCTGCTCATACCGATCCTGCTGGTGAACCTGCTGGTAAGCACATTTTTATTCACTTTTTGTCCTTTTCTTCTCATATTGTCATTTATAAAATATTTTCAAACTTGCATCTGAATGGAGTGAGTCTCATGTGTGTTTGCTTGTGTTGTAGATTGGTTTGGCTGTTGGAGACATTGCTGAGGTTCAGAGAAATGCAGCTCTGAAAAGAATAGCCATGCAGGTAAGAAATAACCCACCGAGCAGTTTTTGCTCTAAAAGAGGTCTAATGGACGTCTAAATGTAACCTAGACAACTGCTCTAAAATCAGGCTACCACGGGTCTAAAAGTGACAGTTTTTTAGACTCAACTCAACTCAACCCAACTCAACTTTATTTGTAAAGCACTTTAAAACAACCACAGCTGAACAAAGTGCTGTACATAAATAGACAAAACAACACAGACATAAAAAACAATCAAAAAACAATTAAAACAATGGATAAAATAAAAGCAGATATTAAAAAGTAACATATAGTTTCAATGTTTTTAAAAACTAAATTAAAAACATAGAAACTAAAAACAAACCATAAAACACTAAAACAGGAGCAGAGTCTCATGCAGGGTTAAAAGCCAATGAATAAAAATGGGTTTTAAGACAAATTTTAAAAATGGACAGTCTAAATTTAGACCAAGTTTAGACTAAATCTAAATCTGGGCTAAATCTATACTACACTGTATATCATAATCATAATTATTTTGGTTAAGTACTTGAAGATCAGTAATGCAACTTACAGTTGCTTTTTGAAATAAGTAGTTATCGAATAATGGGTGAAAGTGCAACATCAAAATTCTGTCTAATTATATACAGAACCTAGACGGTTAACATTATACATCTAATCGCCGTCTATTGCTCAGTGGGAAGTCAGTCTGTTACTGGAAAAATAATAATGTGAAAATGTGTCTATCAAGTGACAGAGGCACATGAAAATATCAGCCAGTATAGTAAAAGTCTTCAAAATTCACTTGCTCCTAATCAAACATAGTTTGTAAATGAACTTCTTCATTTCTATTTATGATCGAAAATTTACATGTCTGAGCCTAGGTTGACCTCCACACCACTCTGGAAGACAAGCTTCCTTACTGGTTTTTGAAACGAGTTGACAAACCCTCCATTGTTGTCTACCCCAACCGCAAGTGCCCCAAAGTAAGCTGCACCCCTTTTTAAAGATATATAATAAACTAAATAATGATCTGTCATTTTGATTTAGTTGAATTTCCCTCTGATTCCCTGACAGCGATTATTTTGGTTCCTGCTCATGGGTGATGAGCCCACAGAGGAGGTGTGGAGTCGTGTGCGGGCCAAATCTCAGAGCTGCTCTTTGTTACAAAATGAACTTGTGAAGCAGAAGAACAGGTAAAGTTTAGGAGAGTACTCATGAGAAACACATCTAAGCTTGTTTTCATAAATATATGCTATATGTTATTAGGGATGTAAGAACTGTGGTGCAACAAACATTTCAATCAAAGTTTTTGATACAGCAGCGGCCCCTGGTGGCAACAGAAAACCCAAGAGTATGACAGGAGTGCTCTGACTCACTGTATCTCTTTCTATAAAAAGCACATTGAAGCACTTAGCTCTCTAAATGCCTGATTGTAAATCTACTCCAGTTTACTGTAAAGCTGCCTCTGGCGTGTTCCTCTTCAGGATGAAGGAGATGTCGAGCATGATGGAGAAGCAACATGACCTCTTAAAGCTCATCATCCAGAAGATGGAGATCACCTCAGAGGCAGACGAGCACGACGGCCCCGCGAACGTCAAGAGCAGCATGTGGCCGAGCCTGTGCCAAACTAAGCCGAGAGCGCAGACTGTGTCTCGCTGGGTCCCTCTGATGAAGGCCATCGAGACTAAGAGGAAATGAGGAGCATCCCACAGACATGAAATATTTATAGAGCAACAATTAAATATATAACTCAATAAAGTCGCTTATATAAAAGTTAGGAACATCTTAGAGTAACTACTGTTAACTATAAACACTTCACTAAGTGCTCTTTTGTCTGGTCTTTGCAGGTGTAACTGTTAATCTAACGCAACAATGCACTTCTGTGTGTGTTCACTTCAACAACATACAGCTGTAACAATGTGCAACCCGCGTTCTCCCTGACTTCTATATAAGTCTTGTTTTGTCTTGTCTTGTGTTATTATTAAACATGTTAACAACTCATAAAATGTGAATATTAGATGGGATTTTTTTGTCAGTTCTGACTTTGTTGGATCTGACAAATTTATTCCAGTTTATGGTCGTGAAGTAAAACCATTAAAATGTGATGTTCAGTCCTGTAGCCGTTTCCTATTTTTTTCTCTTTTCTGTAATTTGATCGATGTTTCTTTCAGTCTGAAGCTCCTCTTCTGTTTTGACATCCCCTGCTAAACTCTGTATTGTTTTTCATTTTCTTGGCTGGAGACTGGACAGCCGTTTACCAGGAATCTAAAGTTTTCACTAAATAACATGATAGTAATGTCACAAATATCCTCTGTGTTGTTTACCAGTGCTGTCACATTCTCAAGGTAAAACTACAAACAGTTAAATCATTTCCCAGGATTGATTTTTGCATGTGTGGCATGTATGGAAGTCAGGGTATCACCACAGTTTCCTTGACTATTCAGAAATAAATGTCATTAAGGGGTTTTGACCAATCAGAATCAAGTATCAAGTTATATTTAACCTCAAAAGCAGAAAATGGAAGCAGGGTAAACGTCACTATTTCCCATATTTTACTGAAAAAATGTGAAACCGTCTTGGCGATTACAGCTTACACCGCACTAAAATAAAGTTAAAAAAAATCTCAAAATATTTGAATATTACAAAACACAGATTGAAAAAAAAAAAAAGGATTCATCATGCAAGATCACCAAACTTCTAGAAAATTATGTCAATTCATGCACTCAGTTCTTGGCTCCTTTTGCATGAATACTGCATCAATGGTCTGAGATGGCTCGTCTGTGTTGTTGGCTGTGGTGTCTCTCATTTTTCTCTTGATGATAGTCCAGAGATTCTCGATATGAGGTTTCAGGTCTCCTGGTAGACTTTAGGCTGCTTTGACCCTGAATACAGTAGACCAACATCAGTAGATGACATGACCCCTGAAATCATCACAGACTGTGAGAATTTAGCGCCACTCTTCGAGCATTTCAGACCCTGTGCTGATGCAAACTTCCTCCAGACTGTGGAGATGCTTATGAGGTTTTCTTTGGTTCAGGAGTGTCATGACAGCAGGAACACGAGACCTGAAGCCTATTTCTTTGACACCGCTGTGTTTAGTGTCTCTTAATGCTCTGACTCCAGCCTCAGTCCACTTTTCCACAATATTCAGATTTTTCAAGATAGTGGATATTTCTGATTTTTATGAGCTGTGAGCCATGGTCTTCAAGATTCAAGCAAAAATTGTTGTGAAATATTTCACTTTTTGTGTTATTAATCTAGAATATGCCAAAGTTTCACTTTCTACATTAATTTACAGGGAAAAAACTGAACTTTTTGAGACATTTTAATCATGTATATCATAAAGTCTCTGTCCATTCCTCATGAGGTTCTGCTGGAATTTTCAACAATATTCAAATCTTTTGAGATAGTGGATAAATTTAATTTTTATGAGCTGTGAGCCATAATCACCGAGATTAAAAAGAAATTGTTGTGAAATATTTCACTTTTTGTGTTATTAATCTAGAATAAGTGGAAATTTCACATTTTAAGTTAAATTATGGAGGGAAAAATGAACCTTTTGGGACATCTAATCATTTGAGCTGCACATCAAAATCATGAAATATGTTTGTCTTCGTACTTGTGATAATGTTTTTTCAATCAAGTCTTCATTGATTTTTTGTGAGTTGCTTAAACATCCAAAATTTCACAAAACCTTGATGAATTATTCCCTCTCATTTGAGCAGATCTGAGCACGTGAGCTGCTTCATGGGAATCACTGGAGGTTTTTAGAAAAGGACTCAGACACCAGCAGCCTGCACCTGTCCCTCTGCTTCTCCTGCACCGGGACCCGAACAAGGTCAGGACCCCTGAAAGTCTCTGCTGAGAGACAAATGCTAGCTCTCCCTTTGAGTCAAAGTTTCATGTGATATTTATTACTGCTGGGCCTGAATTTAATTATTCCCAGAGCAAATACAACAAGCATGTAACCATCAATTACACTCATGTTTGGGACAATATTTTCAAGCTCTCTCTAAAGAATGACTAATGATCGACCTTGTTTTATCTCTTCTTGTCCGCAGTGAGCGAAGCAGCAGCAGGTTGAATTATGTGTCACATAGCCGATACCGCCGCCTCTTATGTACAGAAAGATGACAGCTTATGAAATGAAGAGTAAATCCAGCTGAAGTATCCTGCAGTTTGTTCCTTCAAGTGTGTCAGTCAGAGCGTCCAGGTCGCTGACGGATGCAGTGACAGAGGGGGAGATGGCAGCCAGCCGGAAGCTCTGACCATAATATCTCAACCCTCGTGACACTTTTCAAGGATAAACCAGGATAAAAAGGTACCTCCAGTGTCCTGCTGATGTCAGGTCTTTGTGTGGAAACTGCACAGAGAGTGGAATCATGTCTTAGGGCTGTAAAAGAGGGAAATTCAAGCTATGAGGAAGTGTAACAACCATTACTTGCATTTTGACATTGCAGATTTCAATTGAAATATTATTACAAGGTAGAATAATTCTGTTTTTTTACGACTCCATATATTGTAAGTCGATAAGATGAGATGGTCGAATGGATTACACACTTTTAGGAGATATTGCAGTACAGTACAGCATTCATTAGTACAGTAATTCCCCTCTTTCTCTCCTTCGACCCTGGCATGGCAAGCTACCAAAACCCAGCATTTATATCAGCTGCAGTTGGGTAACTCTTGGCAGACTCTTGCTCTTGTAATAAAAAAAAAATCTAGATTTCACACATATTATGTGGAGTAATAGCTATCAGGGATCTCTGATTTTCTGGGAATATGTCGAGGAAGCAGAGAGTGGTTTCTGTCAGTGCTGTATATGTGCACACAAGTTTTCATTTATCCAAGATATCAGGCTGACTCTCTTCCAAGCTCCTTTATAGTTTGGACCCAAAGTTTGTCGAACACTTTTTCTAAAACATTGCTTTGTTTGACTTTAACAGATTTTCTGTCTGTCTACTGTTTCTCAGAAGCTTGTCAGGCAGTTTGGTATCTCTGCAAACACATGCTGCAGACTTGTCGCTCAGAGGGCTCGGAGCAATCTCAGTTTCTTCTCTTCTTTCCTCAATCTTTACTTTTTATCTCAATCCCCTCCTAAAAGAAAAAAAAATATTCTCCTCTGTCTGATCACTATCGCTCAATGCTCCAAGACAAGCCTCAAGTATACTAAACAAAAAGCAAATCTGACCGCAGTGCGCTGCAAAAATGTTTGCGTTTCTATGGGAAGTAACATGGTGCCTCCTCGCCTCTGCCACACCCTTGTCATGCCAACACTCCAGATGTCATGGGAACCGATAACAGCTGGCGTGGGTGCACGCAGGCTGCGTGTGAAAGGCCGCTCCATCTGCAGAAACCCAATCCCTCTGTGAAAGCAGCAGAGGATTAGGCACTTTTGATAAGGTCATCAAGACATTTCTATCACCTAAATACATCTGTGGGACTGAAAACTTCAGAAATGTTTAGTGTGTGTGTGCATTCCTAAATACCTCAATAGGCTGAGTGTATGGTTGTCTTATTTTTGACAACCTACAAGAGGGAGTATCCCCAATTTAGGGCAAATCAAACCTCAAAGTAATGGAGCATGTACCACACATGAGATTTAGCAGTGATACTCTATGCGTTGTCATGGATTAGTGTCATTATCAAGCAGCAGATGAGCCACTTAAGTCCTTAACAGAATACACAAGGAGACAGTTGTGGTCTCACTGAGGTCATGGTGGCTTTGAGAAAAAGGGGGAGGAGATTTGTACAGAAAAAAAAGTGTACAGATGCCAAGTCCTCGACACTTAAATTAGAGGGGCAGCCAAGCAAGCAGGCACGTTTAAGTTTTGGAAAGGGCTGCAACTTCCAGACTCAATCTTGGAGGAAATCAAAGCTAAAACATCTTCGAGAAATAAGTTGCAGGGTTCCTTCACTGGAGTTAAAGCTTAATAATAGTCTAGTTCTCTTTATTGTTTTATAACAAACACTGCGCTAAGAGTTTGGGCCAGGCGTGTGCGCCTAGAAGGCACAGGTGGTGCACCATGTCCACGGGCTCTGCTGCGAGTGATGCTGAAGACTACGAAATAAGTCACAGGCGGACTGCTTCAACTCTGGAGAGGACAAAACGGAAGACCACCTGCTATAATCCCAGCCGGTTCTCTGATGAGGATTTGGAGGATGACGCCGTGGAGGGTAGGACGAAGCATCGTGAACGCAAACTCTCCAAAGCGCACCACCAGAGGGACGCGCGCCAGACGCAGAGAAACGCTGCCAATGCCAGGGAGAGGGCGCGCATGAGAGTGCTGAGCAAAGCGTTCTCCAGACTGAAAACCAGCCTACCATGGGTGCCTGCGGACACCAAGCTGTCCAAACTGGACACACTGAGACTCGCCTCGAGCTATATCTCCCACCTGAGACAGCTGCTGCAAGAGGAGCGCTTTGAGAACAGATTTGCGCACCCGGTCAACCTGGTAAGAATATGAGGATTTGGAAAAACAAGAAAGAAAGATTTAAAACTACATAACTTAGCATAGCACATATATCAAAATAAGTTCAGAATTACAGGAAATCGTTTTATGTCTCATTTCCAAAGTGATCTAGTTTTGTGTTTGAAATGTTTTGTCACTATTTAATCTGATTTCCTCTGCCCAAACAGACCTGGCCTTTTATGATGACAGGACGCCCAGAGGACGGCCAAGACATCTCATCCTCTGTGAGACTGTGTGGAGCTACAGCATAAAACTTCTAACCCCCACATGTAATGTAGGCTACTCCTATAAAGGGGCCATCTTTGGAGAACTGTCTTCATATATGGGTGGAACAATATTTCATTTGTGCGCCAAAAACAATGACTGCGCTCAGTTGAAGCTGAAATACACAAGTGTTGTCTACTCCAGAGCCTGTCTTTAAAGATTTCAGATAGATCTCCAAGTCTGTTTTGGTATCCAGAGGAGAGTATATCATGTGTGTGCATGTAATAAGTGTTGAAGCATGTTTACACTGTGTGTAGGCTCATTTAAGCTCATGAAACACTGAAAATGTAAATGTGGTGAAATGTAACCTAACGCTCTTCTTTCTCATTTACTTGCAATTGAGTGTTGAAAGTGTTGAAAACAAAACATTATGGATGTATACTGAGTATTACAGTTTGAGTAGATATGTCTGTGGTAACAGTACAGTTACAATTTTGTTCCAATTTATATCTGCAACAGGACCTTTAAAGAATCATTGACTGTCTTGGTACATTTATTATTTTGCATTTTAGATCAAATTCTGTTTGTAATGATTCTTCTCACTACTTTGTTAAATCCAAGTTAAAGCTCCTGTGAGGAGTTTTAACATGGTTATGAAACAGACTAAAAATCAATATTGACGCTTCCCTATGGCCTCAGGAAAGCAAATAAGACCATCTGCTATAAGATTGATAACTTCTGTGTATTCATTTTAAAGCTTGTAATTACTGCTGCAGGGTATCAGGGTGTCAGACAAACACAGTCACTGCTCTCTGCTGGAACAATATTTCTTATTTTTTACACAGCAAAGATTTACTCTGAGTCATGTGGAAAGATAGCAGGATAAGATATTGAAAAAAAAAAAAAACTATTTATGTATCAAACAATAACTGCAGAAAGATAAGAGTACCAGGTTTGTCCATAGGGGGGCGCCACATAAACTGAAAGTACAATAGTTTTTCTGTTGTTGATCTGTCAGCAGCCTATTGTGTGTTAACTGAAGTTAAAACCTAGTGAGTTTGTAAAATACTATAAAACTTTAGGGTCTTTTTTTTATGTAGGTCAAAGGTGCTGAACCCAGAGAGGGGAGAAGAAAAGACGAAAAGACAAAAAAATGTGTGTCTTTTGTACACGTAATACTCATTATATTTGTTTGGTTTGACTCTGTTTAAACCTGAAAATGCTTGTTCATATATATTCCAAAAACTTAAAAATTGTCAATTTTTTCTGTGATAAACTTTATAATATAACTTGCACATTCTTTTACTCTCAAACCTGAAACCTAATATAATACAAATGCAGCTGGGTTTGATGTAATGCTTGTTAAAAGGATATTTATGCACCATGGACATGATTGGTCCAAAGTGAAAATCTGTAATACAGTCATGAAATTTGAAAGTTGGAGACACATAAAAAAACACTTAATTGTCTCTGCCAGCAGGCCTCCACAGATCCTTGTCCATGTCATCAGACAGGCTGCAGTTGTTCAGATTTCAGTCAAAACAAAAATCTTCTGTGAGAGTCGGTCAGAAGTTCAAGGAGGACTCACACACACACTCAAACACAACTAAACGGCACACACACATACACATAAACGTTTTATGTTGGACAGTGATCTCTTGATCTGACTTCTTTTATCCAGTTAAACCTCCAAAATGATGTGAGAACAGACGGATGACACAGACTGACAAGGATCCCGAAATGGACAAAGAAATGGAGAGTGGAGAAACTTTTCATCAGGTTCATGTGGAGCTGCAGCTGTTGGCGCGTCGGTGAGTTTCCCAGAAGTCTGAGCTTCTCTCATGGGACAGGGAGGAAGAAACTACTCTGCTGGGCCCGCACAGCTAATGAGCTGGTGCCTTCTCACACTCGGCCTGTTCCATTCTCGCACCATCAACTCCAAATGTGCCACCGATGGAAAAGAGAGACTTGTAAATGTCTCGTGCATGTTGGCTGCACTGAAAATGAGGAGACATTCATCAAAAGTGGACATGTCAACTAAAAAGTGATGATGTTTGGGTTTGGTGTTCACTCACACTGAGCTGGTAACAGCCAATTAGGAGGATGAAACTTTTTAATTTAAGATATAAACCAATATATGATTGTGCCAAATTTATGACAATATGACAAAAGTAGTGTTTCTGAGATGAAATTAAAACGCTGTTTGGTTTGACGTCTGTTCATGCAGGCTGTGATGTTGCATTAGTGGCATCTAGTGGTAAAACTTCGGAAGGCACATTTAGCTGAGCAGAGCAAACTCACTTTGAGTCAGTTATTTTAATAGTTGCTTAATATGTATGATGCTCAGCATGACTATTACATGAGACATAGAGGAATATCTAAATTCTGATGATAGAAAGGCACTCCTTCATTACTGAGGTATATCCACAGTCTATTCTGTAAGCGTTTGGCATCGTTTAAACAACACAGCTTGAAAAATACCCCCCAAGAAATCCTGAAATGATTGTTCATATGACTTTGGTTAAATTATTGCCTCAAAAATCTTAAAAAACTTTGCAAGTTCAAACAACCCTCTTAAAAACTTAAATATTAGCGAGTGTAGTAGTCTTATTTCAAGTGTATCACCCTTAATGTATGAAACAACATTCACCTGAAGTCAAGAAATAAATTTTTAGGAATACACATTTTTATTCATCACAAGCAATCCAGGCCTCATGACTCTGTATATATATATATGTATATACATATATATATATATATATATATATATATATATATATATATACTGTATATATATATATATATATACATATACATATACATACATGTACATATCGTATATTTATATAGGGATTGAGATGATCAAATAGAATTTATTTAAGCTGCCTTCATTTTCAGCCAAAGGGTTTCTACGCATCTTGGAAACATTTGACCAATTTCCATATCATGGTAAACACACTGAAAATGAGAAAATAAACTGAATATCCTGAGATATCATGAACTATCCCCTGAAACCTTGAATTGAGTCTTACAGTTGCACCTGCAGGCTGGATGGCAACAAGGTAACATCACATTCCACCCCCCCACCCCCACCAACTTTATTACATTTTAAATTTAAATTATTATTAGAGACTCCAGCTAACTTTACTATACAGAAGTGAAAATGTGTTGGGATAAACTGATCAGAGTCAGTGGCCGTTAATACTCCCAGCAAACTTTAAAGGATGCCATTAGGGTGTGAAATACATCACTTTGTTTGTTATTTTTATACTGATAATATAAAGAAAATTGTTGATGTAAAATTGCATTAAAATACAGGACACTACTGAAACTCAAGACTGTGTGGCAGTAGACAAAAAGAAAAAAATAAATGAAAGAATGATCACTTATAAGCGTGTAAGAGTTCGTGTTTATAGTCAAAAAATGTGAAAATGTTACTGAAAAAGTTTTGGAAAATGTTCCCTGGAAAGTGAGGGAACTGTGGTATCAATTTTGTCCAGCAGAGGTCAGTATGTCTCCATGTAAATTGATAGGCTCTCTTGGCGCTGTGCTGGATATACTGCGGATATGGTGCATAGTAATTTTTATGTTGGTTTTTACCTGCAGATGTGTTCAATAAGAGTCATGTGTTTGCTTTTTTTAAATTCACTTGCATTTAATCCAAATTAAACATGAGTATAATTGACTCGATCGCTCTAAATGTTGATTTCACGCAGCAATGATGTCTTGCTTTCCAGGATAAATTTCCAAATCTTGTTTAACAAAATGTTTTTCAGGTTCAAATTTGATCAATTTAAACACTGGCTTGATATAAATTTGCACTTCAGTCATAATGTCTCAGCATAATCCAACTTTTTTTCTACTCCCACTGAAACATTTTTGTAGAAGAATTTGCATGAACAGGAAGGAACCACGGGTCCAAAGCCAACATCAGCGGTTCAGAGAGGCTGCCTTTGTAGCTGCACCGCAAGCTTTAACTTTAGCCCGTACAGTCAGCAGGAATCCAGCCTGCACGCTTTGGCTTTTCCAAACCCTTTCTGCATGCTTGTTATTCAATATCCACTCACTCAATGCTGCTAATGAGAGAAGGGATATGTAAATCCCAAACTAGTTCAATCATGTTTGCCTAATGTATACACTACACTGTAAGTTCCTCTGCGGTCACCAGCCTTTGTTTATAAAATGCATTCTTTCCAGGTATGAAAGTTTTGACCTCTGTTCAACCTGGAGCAGAGATTTAAGGTTACTGTTGTGCTGTTTCTTTGGTAAAAATGGCTGTAATTATGACTGTTTGAGTGGGGTTGTAGTTCAATATGGACATGGATGTTGGTTTTTGGATTACATGCTCTGACCGCACTCATTTTGTGTGTCTCCAGGAACCTGGCCCTGAATCGAGGAACCTTCACAGGCAGCAGATCCAAATCATGAGTTTGGCAGAAGAAAGAAGCGGAAAACGTGTTGTTTTCCTAAAGGTAATTGAATCCCAACCTTTAAAAATTTTCATTAGTTTTTATTTATATTTCTTAAAATATTCCTTTCTTTATGACTTCATATTTTCATAACTTCAGTGTAGTTCTAAAAAGTTTTATAATTTTCATTTTGGAGTTGGTTTTAGTTTTCTCCCTGCACTCCCACCGTGATGCTGAACCAGGACTATCTGCTGGTGTTAACTAGCCTGAAGAATAGTGTTAAAATATTCTGCAAGAATTATAAAATAAATTAACTGCAAAATAAAGGAAAAAAATGTAGATATTGTATGTATACATTTTTTTATCTGAGTATTTTTGTAACAACTAAAGATGATACAGTTTTAGTTTGTACTTTTGCTATCAACAAATACCATAAAAAAAGATTAAAAAAAACTATCACCATATTGTTCGTTATTTATTAGCTATTAACCACAAACTGTTACTGTAAAATATTTAATTCTTAAGATGGTAGGCCAACTAATTGTACTTCAGTGACCAAATCTGTGAAATTTAACATGTCCATTTGTCTTAGTCCTGTTTGAGGTCACAATAGAGGTCTAAAGGTTTAAAGACACAAG